GTAGGGAACTAATAGTGGATAAATGTGCTTGTGTCTGTGGAAACTTGTAACCAGGGTGAACTGATGCTGAAAAATTAAGTGGGGATTGGTTTGGTGAATACTCAAGTGAGTAAATCAGCTGTCTGGTTCAGTCCAAAGGTTTTTGAGAACCTAGTGAGAGGTTTTGGAGTCCAATTCAGAACTGCTTAGGAGAAGCTGATGTGAAGGAACTGAAGGGTCTGTGTAGAATGGTAACTAGGGTGTGAGGCTGAGTTTCGTGTCTTCAAGTGGAAGCTGTAACCATTGCTGACAAGTAGCTCTTACTGTAAGAACATTCTGACCAAAACATCTTAACTAACGTAGGGCAGGTACACAGGGAGCAGTTTGTGCCTTCATCTGTGTCAGATGTCCCTGGGATCAGTTTAACATGTCCCAGGCTTGGGTGGGCAGTTTGGGAGCTGATGGCTTTTGGCACGTGGGTAACCACAAAGGTGCAGCAGAATTCTTTGTGTTCTCAGATTTTCACTGGTCTTGTTTCAGCTTTTTCATTATAGCAGGTGCTCTATTTCCTGATCCTCCTACTAAATGTTTCTCTAGCCTCAACACTGAGCACCAGACAGACAAAATTCATGTCACCTCTCATGATGTGTGTAGATCCTCAGGACTGATGGCTCTCTGTCCTTAGCAAATGTCAATCTCCTTAGATGCAGAGGAAGGGTGCAACATTCTCCTTTCCTTCATCTCTTTAATTATATGGTGGTATACCACTGGGAGATAGATGTCTTGCCTACAGCTGGACATTGTGCCCAGAAGTGTAAGAATTAACAGCTCTTTAACTGTTATCCCATTTATTGTCAATGTAAATGTCTCCATCTGTCCTCAAGGAACCTTGTGTTGCAGCTGACTTCTTGCCAGTCAAGGTGACTTTGAGGCCAACCACAGCTTGCCTGTTCCACCTAATCTGTGTGAAAAGCTGTGGTTGAGCAGCACATCTGTCAGTGACTTGTCTAGGGGTGGGAGGGAGACCTTCAGTTCATCTTGGGGCTCCCATAGATAATCCTGGTGTGCTGTCACCAGGGCTTTCCAAAGACGTGATGGGAATTCAGGTCAGCATTCTCTGCAGATCAGACTCCAGCAGGGAATTCTCTCTTTGAGACACAGCCTCTTTGACTCACATGAGTGTCAATCTGTCACAGCGTGCAAAGTCAGAAGAGATCCAGGAGAAATGAGTTAAAAAAGGTTTTTTTGTAGTGTTGGAGGTGCTGGCACAATATTTTAGGAGTCAGCTGTAATCTGAATACTTTGCTTTAGACCTTAACATTACTGATTAAATAATACACTTCAGCAGGGATGGTTTTATTTGTATCTACTCTAGTTAATGTTTGCTTGCATAGTCAGAGCCTAGAAAATTGAGGAGAAATGTTTTCCTTTGTACTCTGTAGTTGGAGTTCTTCAGTCATTTGTCTTCCATTAACTCCTTGTCATGTTTGGTTTTGCTTCTGTTTGCTTGTTGAAGTTGGCCTGGTGGCTGAAAGGCAGCGATTAATAATTTTCATTCCTTAATGTTTGGGTTTTTTTTCTTTTTGTTTTGCTACCCCAGCCTGCAGTTCCTTTCCATGCTACTCCTTTGATTCACTTTGTTTCTGAAACCTCTTGGACAGAGGGTCTAAATAGCTGTGTATTT